AAAGAAACTATAGTCAGACGAACTGTTAGCTATGTTCCTCTCAGTTATTAGTCTATCTAATGTACGGAAACAGACGCTCGCGTTATAAGCAAGTATACTATCATCAATAAGACTGAAAGGAAACTGGTTAAATGCCTATATCTAACTCAATTTTTATCAACTAATCTAAGTAAATAGTATTATACTTGCACTCCATCGCCACAAGAAATCACTCTTCAAATTTATTAGACAAACCTCAATGGCATTAAACACAATAATCAAGTACATGTTTGAGTGTACAGACAGGAGTTACACTATTGTATGAATAATAGTGATGTCACCCGGTTTCCCTGACCGAATTAAGTGGGGTGACACAGTCTAACACCTGACATGGAGTGTATTGGCACTGCTTCAGTACTCAGACTAAAAGAAATAACCAAGTATTGACAGGAAATAACATATGATCTGTTTGAGCCGTTTATCTGAAAGATAATTCAACTTGTGTAATACGAAAAGCGATACGTTTTTAATCTCGCTTGAAAATGTGTCACAGTCGTTGATTTTCCACTTGATAGAGGATAAAAAAACAAATCATAACGCATGGCATTATCCTAATGTTCCCTTGGCTCAATCCATGTAAATAGTTATTGCGAATTCTAGATTATTTACGTCCAAACGCTTTACAATGGTCCTACCGGAGGCTGTTTTACATATATCATAAGATTATAAAATCAAGTGCTTGGTACTTACTACAGTTATTTTATGTCTTCGAATTCCATTTAACTCTTAATTAACACAAAACTATCTCCAGCATAATTGCTATGAGGTAATAAGCTAAAAAAAACACATTTACCAAATGCTATAAAATCCCGACTGATTTTCCAGCGTCGGGAATACATTTATGACGACACAAACCAATTGACCCATAATAACAACCATTGAAACTACTAAATAATATTAAAAAAAACCATTCTGATATGAATTAACATATGCTCACTAGTGACTGGCATCAAGAGGTATTTCCTGGAGTTCTAGTGAGAAACAGTGACCAGTGTAGTTCAACCGGGTCTGTTGTGAGATATTAACTCACTGAAGACAATGATGGATGTGTCGCCCAATTTGGTGGATTGGTTGGGGTTAAACATTAACATCATTGGATGCCGACTCAGTGGTCTAGTTGTTAAGCGCTCGCGCGCGAGATTGATACGTTCTCGGTTCGAATCCCGCGAGGTGGGATCGTGGATGCGCACTGCCGAAGAGTCCCACAACAGGTAGAAAAGGCCATCCAGTGCTTCCAGGTTTTCCATGGTGGTCTAGCTTTAATTGACTCATGATCTCAACCATTGAAATTACACTAAAATCCACAAAAAACACTTCTGATACAAATCAATAAGGCTAATTTTATGCCAATTGATGTTGTAAACAGACTACCGTTGTAATAAAGCAGTGAACTGTTTGGCAAGCTATGTAGAGCCATAGAAAAATCGCAAAGATGTGGATATTTCATATTCCGATTTTAACTTCATATGGTAGATGATCTGGTCTCATGACAACCTGAGTGTTGTACGCCATTCAGGTGCAGACGTTAAATTCTACAATCAATGCAATTTCTAAGCAAAACACTAAATAAAACCTTCATATCTAGATTACAATCGCTTTATAAGGGATGCTGGTTACAAAGAAACAAAAACGTTATCCAATATAAGTGTCGTTGCAATTTTCGATAACGAGTAAGATATCATTCTGCAGTGTTTCCAACTGATGTTTATCCCGAACTTCTACTGTCACGATGTTGACTGCAGATACCGAAGTCCAGAATGAGCAACGAGATTGTTAGTCACTACATGATTTAGTTAATACAGCCTTACATAATAAAAATACTTTTAAATATTCAAACTTATGACGTGATGAAACACAATCTGACAGTTGATTGAACAGCTGAAACAACCCACTCCTGTTTGAAAAATAGTTGCAGCACTATTTCAATCAAACACCGAGTCCTGAAAACTATCCTCACCTGTATAGATATCACTAATCTCTTGAAGATGAAATATTGCATCCACTGCTTTTTATTTAATTGGAAATTTCAGTCACGACAACAGATTTGTAGGACCAGCATATTATTAGGAGATCCATACATTTTACCAACTGTATACTTCAAAGTATAGTTTAAAGTATTTACTCGGTTAAAAAGTTCACTCGTCTATTCTTTGTTTTCAGATATACTTATTCGTCAGTGACAAAACAGTTGAGTCGATCGCAATACGTACCCTTTACAACGAAGAACAAATCAAATACATGTACAACTGTATAAAAGTCTGCGAGTGTTATGCATGTTTTTTCTCATTATATAAGTATATAAAAATTGACTAATGCTATTGAGACGGTTCGGGGTATTTTTCTGGGAAACTTTGAAGAAAAACAATTAAGCTTACAGATGAAATAATATGCTTAACATAAAAATGAAGGGGTCGCAATGATCACTTTTGAATGGCCGAGCTATACTGTCTCAACTATGTTCCAGAGTTGACATTCAGTCTCATTCTACACTTTCCATCTACTGTTCAATATCCAGTGTTCCCCTGTTTAGCTTTAAATCCGCTCAGCCTGATAGACGACTTGTGATAACGGTTCAGTGCTGTTCCATTGTCCCAGCAGAATCAACTCAAGGCTTATTCGGTGTCAAACCGAGTAAGGCCATCGCGCACCAGAATTCACAAAGAGGTTGGAAAGAATCCTACAGTAACAATAAACTGAACGGTAGATCAAATAAGGCAGGAGCAATTGACTTAGAAATAACATGTAAATGGCTTCAAAATGCTTACATTAGTTAACAATATGTGCCAAATAAAAATGACCTGGCTAACTCAGAAAAAGAAGCCCAGACATGATTCAGTATAAAAATGACGTAACACTAACTGGTAGTTAATATTTTAACTAATAGACAGTATAGGTGATCCATCCCTAGATAAGTAGTGATCGAGTGACGAAGCAACCAATGCATCGAGAATGCTGATACTGCATTGGATTTAAAACAGAAAGTCAGTTTGAATAGATGGTGGTGTTCTGTTGACTTTCAGTGATATCGATATTAGTAGAATAATTGAAGGAACAGGGTTGAAATTACTGCAATTAGCGTAACGAACGAAATCTCAGTGTTCTGTCTGAATGCTGAGCTAACGAACTAAAATAAACCCGACTATGCCAAACTACGCTCCTCTGTATGGCACACGAAGCGTCTTGCTGAGTACCAATAAAAGTTGGACAGTGATATGACCATTATTTGTTACCTTGAGTGCAAATATCAGGTTTTGCAACGCGAAATAACACGAAACCAGCAGGTGAGTTTTGGAGACTGGCTTTTAGGGAGGATATTCATCCTTACTCTATCTAACAGTGAACGCAACACTTCATCACCTAACTCGCTCTTTATGATAATCAATGAGCATATAGGGAATGTGACCTCGACTCACTAACGTTATAACAAGATATCGACATCCACTGACATAAATTTGACTTAGTAATGTGAGATTCGGCAAATGACTCGACCAACTCCAGAAAACTGGTATTGAGGACAATAAACACGACGATATTTTAAATATAGTAGGGTTCGGCTAATGGTTGTTTTCTCGATGACACATCTTACACTAACACCACATATATCATGCGTTCACATTATAAACGTGCAAATCTGAACACTTGTCATATTCTATACGTCATAAACGCGCAGCAAGGGCGAAACGTTTCACGAACATTCTTGTACACAAGCTACGTCAGCCCATCGACCGTTGTCCTCAAGTATCAATATTCAGGCACAAGAAAACGCAATGAATTGCAAGAAAATATACAGTTTATTTATAGCTCTGAAAAATAGAGTCAATCACTGTCGTCGGAAGATGATTCTTCAGCCCCCGTATCCTGACTGTAACGGAAAAGAACAAGAGCAAGATGACCAGACTAGTAGAATACAATCAGAAAGAAATGTCATCAATATAAGCAGACATATGCTTGTTCATCATGAACGGGATTGGTGAGACTTACCCATCGTGATCATTCAAATTTTCGCTGAAATGTAAAAAAACATGATTTAGTTCGGACGGATAAAAAACGAAGCGATATTCAGATAATAGCGTCATCAATTGAAACAGACATATGCTTGATCATCACAGCCAATGTATTCTAAACGTACCTTGTCATTTCATCGTCACTTGAGTCGGGAGGATTTGGTGCTTTAATTCGCCGTCTATCAAAGATGTCGAGCATAAATAGTGAACTTACGTTACAGCTTCCCCACCTTCACTCACTTCCATTTTGGCTTTGGATCTGAAGTACGCGTTATCAAACACTGACCACTTACCCAACCGAGTTCGGGGTATTCGTCACACCGTCAGACTTGGCAAACTTTTTAAGTAAACCTTGGGCAACAAGTTTTTTCCTTTCCATGGACACAGGACCGCGGCCCCACTGGCGAGGATAGAGATCACGTTCCATTATTACTCTTTTCAGTTTTGCGACTAATCCATGGTCACACGTCGCGATTGTCGCAGTAGTCATTAATGCAACAGCTTGAAGTTAATGTTAGTCTGAAATGACCTACCAAGAGCCACGGCTTCGCCTTTGGTAGTCATTAAGACTATTTCATCGTTGACATTGATGTCGTTGTCGTAACGGAGTACGCCAGGCAACATAAGTTTCGCACCGAAGCAAATAGCGCACACCTAATCTACATATGCTTCTATACGTAAAGAAACTTACGGCAGTATCTTTAAGCATAATTCGTTTGTGCTTAATTAGCAGCTTTTCAAGAGGCATAATAACACGGCGTAAATAAGTCTCATCTCGCCTATTGTCATAAAGCCACTTGGCATCTAGTATATCATGCATAGTGACCAGGTTGTCCTGCAATATGAAGGACCTTGATTGGACATACCCTTTCAGACATAAAACCAGTTTTTGACCGCCTAAGTTCTTCCATAACACCTCCACAACCTAGGAGCAAGCCCAAATGCACGCAAAGCGTTGTGCTAAGTTAGCAACCGGTGATGTGCTTACTTATATTTTTGGACTCTCACTGCGAAACTAATGTGAATTGGCTACCACCTCTTCTTGATCCAATTTCTAAGAATTACCGGACAGTAACATGCCCTTTTATTGATGTGATTGATGCAGACACCTTCGAATACCGTGCTCAAGATGATGGCGCTCGTGGAGCGTTTGACTGGAGTTTTTACTATAAGCGTCTTCCAAGGTTATCAGTTGACAGTCTTCATCCAGAAACACCTTTTGACAGTCCAGTGATGGCAGGTGGCCTGTTTGCTATTAGTAAAAAATGGTTTTGGGAACTGGGAGGCTATGATCCTTCTCTTGATATCTGGGGTGGGGAACAGTACGAATTGTCTTTCAAAATTTGGATGTGTGGTGGACGTCTAATCGACGTTCCCTGTTCAAGAGTTGGACACATTTTTCGCGAATATCCGACAAATTTTCCGCAACCAAAACTAAAGGGTTTTTTAGCAAGAAATTTCAAGTAAGCTATGAGTATTTGTTAGTACATCTGCAGTTTATCTTCGTACTAATTAGAAATAATATTTGCGCTGTTTTTGTATTGTAAATTAAGTAATTGATACATAGTTATAAGTTCAATGTTGCAAATAACTCATTTAATACTTAGGCCATATTGATCCAAATACTGTGGTAGGGGACCTATGAAAGTTGTGATTTCACCATCGTGAAATAGAACAATAAAACTCTAAATTCTTTGTACTTCAGAACTTGATTCAAGTATATATTTAAAATGGACCAAGTAAAAATGGACATGTTGAAATCTAGTAAGAAACATTATCTCTCTTAAAAATTATCAGTCTTATCACTTTACGCCAAGATGAAACTACTGCGTAGATGTTACTGTTTACGGAACAGACAAACTTTTACTTGCTTTTAGATATTGATAGTGTTATACGAAATGGTCAAGAAAATATCATTTTTGAATGGAACTTGATCACTACATCACCCACTTCATGCCGTCATTCGAAACTTTTCAAATAAACAATCGTTACTAAGACGAAATTTCTGAACATTCCTTACTTAATGATTGTAATTTTGCGTCAAACTTTGGTGAAAATGCAGAAAAATTGGTCTGTTTATTAAAACTAGAAAACGTTTACAGAAAAGTTGTAACTAAATTGTAAAAGATAAATTTAAATCTTTTTCATTTGATAGTCTTACAAAAATACTTTACTGGTGCATAGTTCTATAATTTGATTATTTACAACTCGGTTAAAGGAATTAATTCAGCATTTACTCACAATATAGCTCACTTTCTGATCCCGGTATATTTTTCAAAACCTAATTTTTTAATTCTTTTAAAACAAATGTGATACAATACGCTACTTTTTGGGGATCGAAAAGCAGGGCATCGAAATAAACTCGTTATCTGAAGCGTTATTTAGAGCAGAGATAACTAAATGCGTAGGTTTTAAAAGTTTGTTTCTCAAAAAAGCTCTCTTTCTAATTCACCCTTTAAAAATGCTTATAGAAGCCATGTATTTGATTTCAAATTGAAAGATTATGAGCCGACAACTTAAAAAATCGATTGAATATTCGATTCTACAGCCCATAAAAATATATATGTGATCTACTTATCTTTTTCACCTAAACCAGTCAAAGTTTGTTGTTTTAATATTGAATCTTATTGTAACGTTGAAAGCCAATAAGAGCTGTGTTTAATGGAGACTAATTCATCACTATTCATGAAGCTATTTCTGCGCAGATTCTGGTGTGAATAAACTTTACTAATTTAAAATATTTTTATTTTCGTGTATATTTTGCAAGTATGTTGAATTTTAGGAATCCTGTTATATATTTGTTTAATTGGTTTAAATGCTTAGCTTGTCATTATATACTGATACCTTATATAACCTAACAATAATTATGTAACTAAAAAATGTGTCACTTCTGGCTAGAGAATACATTAAAGCTACTGACATTTGAAAGAGAAAACTGAAGCTTTACGTGTTTCTTAGTGATTTGTATGATACTTATCGAAAATGTGATCTAAAAGGCTATATTGTAGCTATATCATAAGATCGCATTGTTACATTTTTAAATAGGTTATGCTAGGGTTTTTATCTATATTGATCTAGACACACTGTTACTGCTTCTGCATGTATGCTACTTACACAGCATACACCTTAAGAGCTCCACTTTATTATGGCCACCGCACTCTGTAAAAAGTCACAGGTGCAACTCCTTAAAATAACCTCGTAAAATTACTAGATCACACATCTTGTATTTGGAATGTACGGTGCTTCAGAACTAAGTATACGTTTGGTTTGGAATTGTGTTTACGATGTCAGAGATCAACCGTATCACACAGGTCAGGGTTACGTTCATATTGTTAAAATTTATAAAGATACATTCTCATCTGGTTTTTAATGAAAAATATACAGTGTCTCGTTTTACTAATTTACAAAAGAAGTTAGTACACGACTAACTGTTATCTGTTTGGATTTGGCACTAGCACGCGCGTAACAAAGTTTGGATTTCCGAACATTGATTAAACTAATGGGATACATAGAATAAAACGAAACTACCATGAATTGAATCAAGTTTACAGCAAAAAATTATGGCACTTTAACATTTGTTTAAATTGCAGCAAGACTGATAAAAATTGGTTGCCTGAAAACTCAGAGGAGTTCTGTTGATAAGCCATGATCAATGTAGTTCAACCATGTTAAGTGTTAGGTGGTTACCTTCCGTAGACAATGGAAGACCAGTGGTCTAAAGGTTAAGCGTTCTCTCGTGGCCCAGAGTCTTGAGTGTGGAATCGTGGATGCGCACTGTCGGGGAATCCCATACTTTCAGGTTTCTAATGATAGTCTAACATTGGTTGGTTCATGATTTAGATGTAAAACGATATTGTTGGCATCTGTTGGATAGGACTGGATGGTAGTTGACTTATGTCACTGATGAGCATTTTTTGGTTAAATTTAGGCAACTGCAGATAGGGCTTATCTAAGTGATAAAGGTCCGGTTTTATAAATATATAAGGAATACAGAAAGTTTTTATGTACATGAATGCCCTAAAAAATTTCTGTCCGTAAGTTATCGAATGATAATTGTAGGTAATACCTGATGAAGCATTTTAGAAATCATTCAGTTATTAAATCAATCATCATTTAGATCTCTATTTCGTAGACGAAATTAAAACACTGTTTGAAACACTGTAAGTACTTGCTTTACTGGCTGACGTTATTAGTTTCCATTTAAAGACATAAAACAGTGAAGTCATGATTTTACGAAAAAATATTAAAATCATTTTAAAAAATCCTCGCTTCAAGAGAAGAATTTTACATATATTTATTTTTACGCATTTCTGTATTGATTCAGATTGATATGTTTCGGCACTGTTAATTAAAATTGGTCTCACGTGAAACACTTAAATAATATTATTTCTGGATAATGCTCTTCCAAAACAGCAATCAAACTTTTTAAATTGTTTCCTATTCTAAATACATCGCTAGTCCCAAGACTGGATGTTTAATAGATGCCACACTTTTAAAACGCACTGAGGAAATTGATCGACTTTACACCTTGACTTTATAGATTGCTCTAAACCTAAAAATGTTGAGGTTTTAAGTTTTTCAAAAAGTATGCAAACTGAAATGTCAACGACGATTTTTTGTGTTCAACGTTTATCCATCACGTTTTACGAACATCAGCATTTTTATCTTCCTACAAATAAGTAGTCAAACTAATCATTAAAATTTTTATTGTTATGGAGTCTTATCTTAAAAACTTTGTAAATTCACTGCTTTTTATTTGAGTTTACACACTAAGACTTAGTACTTTGAAAAACAGACGATTCAACTAATAGTTACGTAATTAAAATGTCACATTAGTTTAGTTACAACTTTCAAAAGTAACGCTCATTATTTACAAATGATGTACTTACAAACACTCCATTTTCTTACCTGAAATCAAAAAAGTGCAGATAAGTAAAAATAAATATATCAATAAGTATTTCATGAAAACTTCCAGCTCGAGGTAGTACTAAAACCGGTCCACTATTAGATACACAAGAAAACTACATATACGTGTAATATGAGCTTATTTAAAACTTTATTAAAACGTTCCTGTAAAGTTACAAGCCTGTAAAACAGAAGTTTTCGCTTAGGGTTTACCTTTTTTTATGGATTCTAGACGTGTCGCAGAAGTATGGATGGATGAATATAAAGAGTACATATACAGAAGTTTGCCAAAATGTAGAAAAGTGGACCCTGGTGATTTATCACAACAGCACAATCTCAGAAAACGGCTTCAATGCAAGTCTTTCAAATGGTTTATGACAGAAATAGCGTTTGATTTAACGAAAGCCTACCCACCTCCTGAGGATGTCTTATTTGCCACCGGAGAAATACGTTCAGCTGCTTTTCCTTATCTGTGTATAGATGCTGCAAGAGCCACCAAACGATTACCGGTTAAATTAAGTTTTTGCAGTGCAACTAGTAAAATGTATAATTACGGCCAGGATTTCGAATATTATTTGAAAGAAGATATTAAGGCTGTGAAACGGTAAGTATGATATTATTATGCTACCTTCGTTTTTAAACGTCACTTTGATTTCCTAAAAATCATTTTTGTTCTTGATCGTCTAGCACTTTTAAAATAATATTTTTGTGGTATTTTACCCATTTATTTAAAGGTTCACCATTTAAAATATACTTTTAAATCTAGTGAGGAGCTTTAACTAGAAGAGGTTAATCATGTTGAGTGAGGAATCTGCCAATCAACGCCAATGGAATATGATAGTATATCATTGAAAATTGATTTCAGTTATGCACGTAAACCATTGGATTTCATCTCAGTGCTTAGAGCGACCTCCACGAGACCTAAAGTTTTTGAGTTAGACCCTGGTAGGATAGCGGATGAGTACTGCTGAAAAATCCTCTACTAAAACTAAAAAGTTATCCAGTACCTTCAAGTTTTCAGTGGTTGTCAAACTAAGGTCAGTTTGCAATGCGAACTACAAAATATTTTGAGTTGCTGAAATAAGAGTGTTAGATTATTTTAATAAGATTCGCGTGACACCCAAGATTTCACATAGTTTTTGCGCACTTTTGGAACAAACACTGCATTCTTTACTGCATTTATGTGGGAGAAATTTTAGTGTTAACCCGATGGGCTTTACTTCACTTAACTAGTTAATTCCAAACTGTTTTACTACTACAGTTTTATAAAGTTCTGAAAGTAAATGTTAAACGAAATCCCACGATGACTAACCAGGTTATAACGGATAATTCATCTTACCAAACATTTAAGAATTTTCGAGTTGAATTCACAAGTCAGTCGAAGCCAGACCACGATTAATAATCTATAAGCAGTGGACGGCTGTTTTGTCCTAGTTTGGGACTCCTCAGAAGTGCGCATCCACGATCCTGCACGCCTGCAGGTTTTCAATGATGGTCTAGCGTAAATCAACTCGTAAATTCAACTTGAAAACACTTCAATTTTCACAAGTTCCCGTACTGTTTACTTAGTAAGTTGACACAATAATTGCTGATAGGTGAATATTTTTACTTATTTTTTTAAAGAGGAAAAAACATTTTAAATTTTATGTTGGATCGTCTTTACTTGTAACTTATTTGAGTTACGATGAATCAAGTTGGCTGTAATTTTTAATTATGTGAAACACACTGTTTATAATCTAATTTTCTTATGTTTGAAGAATAAATGCGAGAGTACCATGTCATGCCTTTTGATGAAGGGTCGGAAACTCTGTAAAATATCATAGCACTTTAATTCTAAATAAAAAATAAATACGATCTCAAGGTCCTTAGTTTAACCATCCCATGGAGGTTCTCGTTTTGAGTTTATCTATTCATAAAGCTGAGATTCAGTGAAAGGACGTCGTATCTCTCGTTTTATACTCCACAAATAAAGATAAACCACGAAAGTTTGCAGCTGGGGGACTTAAAAGCAGTAGCCATGAGTTGCAAGCGATAAAATACATAAAAGATTATCTTCAGAAAACTTTGGGAGTATTTGGATTAGTTATTAAGAAAATGGGGCTTAAATTAATTTAAAAACTGATAAAAAGTTCGATGCTCTTCAGTTCCGGTAATTTGTAACAAAAGCAAACAAAAACGAATCGATAATAAAATGGATAGTAACTAAGGTTCAGTTATTCCAGAAGATGAGGATGAATAAAAACTACCAAAGTACAAGTATGTCTTTTGTCATTGCTTTATTGTTAATTATTGGAATTACTCTCATATATCCATCATCCCAAGAGTCAAATGCTAAGCAGTCGAAAGGATTTTTGATAGAATGAATAATTATCGTCAAAGTATTTCCACTGTTTACTTTCAACCACAACTTAGATTCTACAACACTCACTGGCAGAATAATGGTGTTTAGCTCATACAGTCAGAGGCTTTGTTTATTGGTTTACTGGTTACTTAATAATTTAAGAGAGCTTTAAAAACAAAGTAGTGATTTAAGATGATTTTTTGTCCATTTGGAGTTATTTGTTCTGGTGTATAGAACCATTTGGGTGGAATATGATTACTGAGGAAATCTGTCGTACTACATATACACAAAATAACTTTCTGACTGTACACTAAGTAAAGATGTTTTACGACAATAATTTTTTCCGGTAAAGCAGAGTTTGTCTACACTTTGTCAATGTAGGTCAGTAAGAAAGCATTCAATGGCATTAGTCTTAGCAAAGTGAAGTGAATTTATTCTTTTTTCATCAATTTTTATTTTTAATGTCTCATGAACTTTCGTCTTGACCTCACTACATAAGATGTGTCAAAATTAAATCTTTATTTTACTAGTTATTGTCAACTTGGCTGTTTTCAGCCTATTATAAACATTGTTGTTTCTATTTTAACAACTAAATTTAGTTTATTTCATTAATTACTATGTACATGTGCTTAGAGTTATGATGAACACAATTTCATTGAAAAAAGTCTACATATAGACTTATAAAAGCTTAATATAATCGCTTATATAAAATAATTTGATGGATTCTGAAAATTTCTGTCTATTCTAAATGTTATGAAATGCTCTTTAGGTTATGAGATATATTTATATATCTATTTAAATACAAGAGGACCAATTAATGATAGTATTAGTTTGGTTTATGGATAGCTCTTTTGATCAGCAATAAATAGACATTTTTAATTGTTTCCTAAGGTTATTCTAATTTCATTTACTGGGATACTCTCTATATTACAGATCTTTATGTTTAGATGTACCAGATACCAAGCCCAACAAACCAGTCGTATTTCACACATGCCATGGTCAAAATGGAAATCAACACTGGCATCTACAGTCAGCTTATAGAAACAAGGAAAGTCCTGTTAATATAGTACATTCAACTTCCGGTTTGTGTTTAGACATAAATCTGAAAAGTTTGTCAGTTTTGGTAAGGCAGTGCAATTCGAATTTACGTACTCAAAGATGGAACTGGAGGGGTTTACGATTTAAAACTACTTTTACCAAATCAATAATAAAAAATAAACTGTAGTAGTAAATGAGATTAGTTTTTCCACTTATGACCATTTTTCTGTTTATTTGTAAACTGTGATATTTAAATTATTTTTTAATCTAATGTTATGCAATAAAAGTCATTGTTTTCCTCTCACATTTACCTTCACTATCTTTGATGTCGTATACCAAGTGTATGAGAAGAATAATACCATTGCCTTTAAGTATTTTTATTTTAGCATCTTTATATCATGTCTTGAGATTTATTTAATCTTCCGAATAGATTATTTTACACCATACTACAAAATCTTATGAGGTAGTAATTATCTAGAACTCAGTTGCAATTGTAGCACTGGTCGATAACGTGATCTCTGTTAATTCAATCAATCATATCAGTGTGATTTTTTATTAGGCCATCAATTTTCCCAACGAATCATATTTGTAATTGAATTCTTTTTAAATTAATAGGTCATTACTATGACAATGACCTACAATACTTAAATAACTACATCATCAGTGCTGTAAAGATGACCGTTGAGCCTGGTAACTTTTTAAAATTTCATTTGTCAAGAAAATTGACATCCAGTTGGTTAAATTGACCCAGGAGTCTAGGTCAGAGAAGTAAGAATCTAACCAATCAACTAACTAGATCTCACAGAACGGAAAAATTTTAAATTTGGACTCCAACGCCTCTTCCGCAAACGACTTTTAAGCCGTGAATAAAAGACCTACTACAGCTCACTCTAGTATAATTTATTTTGATAACTAGGTTAGAGAAAAGAAAGGATTGTATAAACTTCTTTATACTAAATACATTAGGTTTCTGAGTGTGTATTTTGATAGCTTCAACAGTATAGAAAAGATAAGTCTGTAAATAATGCTTTAGATTTGATAAAATATGGTGGGTAACTTTAAAGCTTTACTTCAATCCACTTAAGGTCCTATGTGAAAAAATACAACTTTAATTCACCATTGTCCCTTAGTGAGCCACTCCGAATTATGTTCAGTTGTACAATGACCTACTTACTTAGTTGTATATCCCCTATAAGTGACCCCACAGTATCAGTTAAATGATAAACACCCAAGAACATAGAGGATTCAGGAAGTCTGCTTTTTCTAGTAGTTTTTATTATCGAACAATTGTAAAAAGCTTCATTTGATTTGACCACAGTTAACATTTTTGTTAATATTTCACATGCAAAATCATTTTTGATCATTAACTTCATGAAAATGAACTTCTTCAGAATAGTAGCTATCTCCGGTATTTTTTTTATCGCATTTATTTAATTGTTGATGAGTTTGGTAGGATATTCATTTTGACCAAGAAGGTTGTGGACATGTTTTAATTCGTCCTCGATGGTTTCTTCAAATCAAATTGTTTTAGCATGATGAGTCAGATTTTATATTTTCTTTTATATCTGAGTAGTACAAAACTGTAGAAATACGTATGTCAGGTTTTGGACTTTCTGTACGTACCTATTTTAATGTTCTATTTAGCATTTTTGTTCATTCCTAGATTTACATCTAGGAATGATATATTGTTACTCCGTTCTTTGTCAAGAGTAGATGTTACTGATGGATATGCTTTTTTTTTCAATATATTAAGTGAACTATTCTTCCATCCTTATTTTTTGATGCTATGAAAGTTCCATCTTTGTAGCGATAATAGAATGCCAGCCAATTAATTAAGTTTACAAATGGTCTATTCTTCAGTTTTTGAAGAAAAAATTCTGCTAAGAGAGAACCTAGTAGTGATCCAATGCGTTACTATCCGTTTGTTTATATTACTCACTGGTGAACTGAAAGTAGATACTGCTCGTCCACCTAAGTAATAAATCTCTAATTAAACATGCAGAAAATAAGGTTTATATACTCCTCGCTATAATTTTGTTGAAAATATAATCCACCTTTTCCAGTAGGGGAAAATTAATGAACAAATATGGTTCATACAATAATATCATGAATTTATCTTTAACTTCCAAATATCTTATATCATCAACAAATCCAAAAGAATAGTTTACGCTATGCTTAACAATTGTGCTCCTTGAATTAATATTTTTTGTCCATTCTAATTCAGAACTATTAATCCCTAATCTACTAAATGATTTTGGATTGCTCTTCAGTTTTATGAAATGCTGAGACGACATGTAAATGTAATTTCGGAAGCTAAATACTAATATATATAATGTGAACTTTCTGATAATTTAATAAAGACAGAATAACTGGAAATATATTTCCAGATTAAAGCAAACCTGCTAATTATAGGATTAAGATTTCTCAAGCATGAATAAAATTCATAAGATTCCTTTATAAATCAAAGCCTACCTAAGTCTATATCTTCATGTTAATCAGAAAGATGTCTGAAATTTTCAGTATTAGGATTAACAAAGATATTGATATTTTCATTCAGCTCTTTATCTCATTAAGTCAAGTTAAATTTTATTATTGATTAGGGTATGTTTACATTACGTCGTTTAATGAATAAACATAGTACAAGTTTACACAATTGTATTATGTCAACATTTCTTGAAATAAGAAAAGTTATTGTGACAAGAGTGAGAAACATTGCATATTCACTTAATGAGTTAGTATGTGATCTTACCAAATGATAAGTAGATCACAGATTAAATTTATAAGTTGGTCAATGTAAGATAGTTTATTGTAACACGAAATGATAAGAAAGATTGAAAATAAATTGAATATTTCTTTTATTTAAGATGATTACATTTTTATATTAAGTAGAACTGGATGAAGTTAAAAACTTGTATCACTGGATCTCACTAGTGTTTTAGTGCTTAACGTTGCCGTGAATCCAAAGGGTCATGGGTTCGGTCTCAGATATTTCCATGGGTCCACACTCCCGAGGAGTCCCATGCTAAAACAAAATAGCTGTTCACTGAACTGATTTTTCATAGTACTTCACCAGAGGTCAGTTTGTGACAAAAGTGACCGACAAAAGAGATGGGATTCGTCGAATTTTTTGCGGTACTATAACTTACAGGGTCAGTGGCAAAATCTTTTAGAAGCTAGATGTGTTGAGCATTTTGTAGAATGAATGTGGCTTTTCATAAGTAAGAATGTATATTTGCTGACCAACCGATGGACAGTGATATAACAGTCTTCAGTATTCTCCGATTGATGTAAAAAGCAGCTAAGAGTAATTTCAGTGTAAAAAGATTTTTTTTGGTGGCAGAAATTTTAATAATCTCTATAATCCTAATAAAATAGGGTACATTCTTTTGCTTTTATGATATCGGATATGTAATCCTACTGTTATTCAATATGTTTTGTTCATATATATTAATGATACGATATATTTTTCGCATCTGTTATGTAATTTCCATTATAATTCACTCCTTACAAACCCATCACGCTTTTGTGTTACAATCATCTACTTTCTTGGATAGAGCAATGATAGTGTATTGGTTAAAGAGATGTGTAGACTTGAGACCACTGAACATCAAAAAAGTCTTGGGATCACTTGACTTGCATACACTGTGAAATATATTTCTCCTAACACCCACTCGTCTCAAATTGCTTGCAGAAGTACAGCCTGTTAATTTAATTTATCTGTGATTTACTTCCAAACAATGTTGTCCGCAAGTAATACTATTTTTATATTCTATGTCAAATTTGTTATTTTTCACCGCATAACCAATTTATATGATAGTTATTATCTGGCTAGTAACCACCCAGCTATTCTCAATGCCTAGTATTTTTCGAACACTTTGCTTCACTCGACTAGACTCCCTCCCAATCATAACACAGTTGTACAGGAATGTGGTTGTATTTAAAATAAACCTAGATTGAATGGGAATAAGAATCATAATAAGAAAAACATTACTATATTTATGGTGTTATCAAAAGATTCTAGAATCTTCTCCAATTATTCACTCGAGCTGCTTTGCTAAGAAGTAATCAATTAGCATGCTCTAACACAGTCCTTCACGTAACATGCTTTAATCCGATCTATGTTCGGCCACCACCTCCCCTTTGACCAGATTTGTAGGATCTGATGTTCAGGTCCACCTTCAACCACGCGACTAGTCTGTGCTGTCGATTTTTCCGCCTTCTAGGTAATAAAGAAGCGGTATCACTCTTTGCTTGCACAGAGACTAGTCTGTCTGTTTCAGGTGTTTCGATTTCAAGGGTGTCGAGCAGAACATCAAGCAGTCTTCTATGTAGGGTTTTATTGCTGGGGTTCGAAGTAACTCTTAGTTAATTAGTATGATGCTCCTAAATTTCTATAACTGCTGACACCATAAACCACATGTCCTTTTCTTTGCACTATTCGACTGACTATCCATGACAACCCATAGCAAGTACCTTCTGGGCCACAACGAATAATCGTCGTGAGTTTCATGATATCGGTTGGATTGCTTTTCTATCGACCTGTTTCGTCTAGGCTCAAGAGCGGGCATTAGTCGAACTGCATTTAGATGTGTACGTATTTTTTGTTAAGCAAATGCTTTGTTAGGGAGACTCCGTTTATTGGGTGAAAATTTGGTTTAGAAGGAACATCAGTTGGTGTAAACATCTTCTGAATGTCTTCTATATTGTCTGATTCTGGTTGATGACCATTCATATATAAGATAAAAACATGGCATTTCATTAAATATACAAAAAAGACGCACATTTCCTCAGGTAGGTAGAAATCATGCTCGAAATTTGATTAGAAACTTGATAGCGTCGATTAGAAAGTTAGTATAATAATATAATTCAGATAAGCTGCTGTTCCAGGTAAAACTATTAACATCATATCTGTTATTTACTGAAAGATAAATGTGATTTTTATGCCAAATAGTAGGTGAGTATATTGAATTCGCCCACGATGTGTGTTGATAGTTAAGAGTTCTCTACAATCATCATCTAATTTTACTTGCAGATACGCTTTGGAAAAGTCTATTTTTGCAAAGAATGTTCTACCACTAAACTTAGCAAACAGATCTTCAGGAACTGGTAATGAGCACTGATATATATCCAGCACAGCGCTTAAATCAGTTGAAAAGTTGGTGCATACGCGTATAGTTCTATTGGCTTACTTAATCACCACGATCAATTTACACGTGATATCAAAACATTACAAATGCTACAAGATTTACTGTAATAGGATGCCTAATCAGGCTGATATTTTAAAAGATTTTTTCATCATAGAAATATGAGAAGTATATGACTAGTGGTAGTAGAAATATAATATACAAAAAAGACAGCTGAGTTGTGACGATCAACTGGTG